GGGCGCCGGAATGAGTGTGGGGGCGGGGGGATGCGACTCCTTCTCCCCCCACCGGCCTCACTCCTGGCCCCCGCCAGGCAGCGCATTAACCTCTGAACTCCCCAGAAAGAGCAGATGTCGGCCTCCTGAGCTCAGTGGAGGCAAGGAATCCCATCAAAGGTGCCCCCCCCCCCCGCCCCGGAAGGATCACGACTCTGTCCCGAGGCCAGGCGTGACCCCTGCTGCCGCTTGAGGAGACGGACACCCCTCAGTGTGAAACGCAGCTGAAGTTCATGGCACGCTTAGGATGGGTCTGCACTTGGCTGAAACGCAGGCATCTAAGCCGTTTTTCCGGGCCCCCACCGCCAGCAGGAAATGCCGCTCGCCGCCACCAGGGGGCACTGTTCACCCTGTAACCACGTAAGTACAGGCAGCCGGCGGGCTGGGGAGCAGGGCTGGTTCCCACATAAATTAATGGGACTGGCGTTGCATTGTTCCAAGTGGCTAAACAACGCGGTTTTGGCAGCTTTCCGTTGGAAGCTCAATCCTCTCCTTAACAGCCCATCAGAGAGGTTTCAGACCAGCACGCAGAGTCTAGCTGCAACGCTCCCCTAGTTACCCGGCTCGTCCGGGCGCGAGAGACGCGGCCGGAAACAGCCAGTCCCACGTAAGGGTTCCACCTGCTTCCTCCCCAGAAACGGGCAAACCTGCGAGGAACCCCGCACCTCGGGCTGGACGCTGACCACAGTCGGCCAGCAGGGGCTTCGAAGGCAGATTAAGGCCCTGGGCGGGTCGCTTTGCTGGTTAGAGTGTCGTCCCCATACTCCAAGGTGGTGGGTTCGATCCCCGGTCCCCGGTTGAGGGGGGGGGGATGAGGATGAGGATGAGGATGCAGCGCATACGATTGGGAAAATACCAGTGTGGTCACTTCCCTTTGCAGCCTCCCCTCAGGCTTCCACAGCTCAGCTCTTGTGCCATTTGGAAGTCACGTGGCAGGTGCTTTGTCAGTGAGGGCTCAGAGCACACAGGTGCACCAGCGAGACCTCCCTAAGCCAGGGCCCCAGACACCTGGCGCCGGGAGCCAGGGGCGGGCAGGGCCGAGCACACATACGCTGGAGGGCGGGCTTCAGACGGCCCGGACCCTGTCTCAGAGTCACCGCTCCCTCGCCGGGGGGCCTGGGGAGACTGCTTCGCCCCTGTGGCACCAGTCTCCTTGTCTGTAGAATGGGGCCCCAAGGGTGGGCTGGCTCACAGAACTGTCTGGCAGGTAGCAAGCACCTGGTCAGTGTTATCGTCCTAAGGGTCATCTTTACTGGCATCGTCGTCGTGACTGTGACTCGTACCGGCGCGGGGAGCGGCGGCACCACGTGTGACTCCGTGTCCTCGGAGGTGAAATGGGGCTGGTGATCGACAGCTTCCCCGTGGTTACTCACCAGACACGGGTTTGTTCTTGGAGCCCGTACCCGTCGTCGGGGCTGGGCACCGGGGGCGGGCAGGTCAGGCCTCACCCCCCACGGACGTGGCGGCAAGCACTGAGATGCTTCCGGGCTGCTGCTACCCCGCAGCCCACGCGCCCAGCACCCCCAGGACACCTTCCCCCGGGCTCCTGATTGGACCCCATGCTTCCTCTGCTGCCCCCTAGAGGCCGCGTTCTCCAGGGGGCCAGTGACCCTGAAAGGAGGGCGAGAAAACGAGACCTGTGCTCCTTCCCCCTGTACCCTCCCTGATTTCCGTTCTCTCGGCCTGCAGCGCCCTTCTTCCACTCACGGCACCCCCCTCCCTGCGGCCGTTCCCCCAAACCAGACCCCCCCACTCCGTGTCATGGTCAGTCTTACAGGGTGCGCTCAGCTGTCTGCTTCTTTTGTGTGTTTTCCAGAACCTGAGACCCACAAGGTCACGGCCACCGGCTGTTTTGCTCACTGCTGGCGCCCGTACCTGGGCCTGACGAGGGGGAAGCAGTAGCAAGTGTTGGTTGGATGAATGCATGAGAACGGTAGCAGGACTCCTGTTGGTGCCTGGGGGAGGGTTCGAATGAAGGGGCAACGCTGGCATGGAGCGTTAGCACACCCCCCTCCTCCGCCCTCTCTTCCTTCTTCCCACCCACCTCCTCCTCTTCCTCTTCCCGGTCTCCGACAGCAAACGCACCCTCAGACACGCAGCAGGGCCATAGCTGCCTCGTGAGGCCAACACGTAGCCCCCGCTCCCCACCCCCTCGGTGACATACACCTGTCACTAGGTGCGTCGGCTGGCGGCAGCCCCGTGGGGAGCTCCTGTGCGGACGTTCACAAGTCGCACGCCCCCTGCTGGGCAACATTAGGAACTGGGAATCTTAGCATCCTGGACACAAAGGATTCTGGGGTTGCCTCTTGGACTTCGGGGGCCCTGGGCACATGGGGAGCAGACGGGTTCCCCTTCCCATAACCCTCCTCTCCTATAACCCGCACTAATTGTCTCCATGTGCCGGCGGCCCGCGGGGAGCTCCGAGAGAGCCAGCCTTTGAGGAGATTGGCCGTCTCTGATGTTTGTCACGAAGTTCCGAGAAGCATCTGGAAGTGATTCTAGTTAAGGAGTTAATGTTTGGGGGTTAAATAATACATGCCTTTAAAAATAAGTAAGTCCAGGAAGCGGTTAGTCCCCAGGCCTCCAGGTTCACGCCTCTCTGTCTGTGGGTTTTCCTTTCAAAGATGAACTGGCCACATCATCTCTTTGATTGGTTTGGGTTGGGTTGGCAAGCAACTTTTTCCCACGGTTGTTGGAGGGTCTGGTGGTAGAGGGTCGGATCCTGAAGTGAGGTCTGCAGAGGAGAAGGCCCGGTCCCCGGGCCTCCCTGGGGCCGGCGTGGAGGGAGCACCTGGGGTGCGGGACCCCGAGCACGGCACACGCCCTCGGCCCGCGAGGGGCAGCCACCCGGCCGCTCCTTCCCTCCCTCTCCTGCTCGGTGGTTGCATTGGCCACGGTGGCTCATCCCGTCTTCCTCTTTCTCATTGTTTGAGCCTTGGAGTCCCGGCCTAGCACCTGCCTTTGCTTTGTCAGATGAGACAGCAGTCTTCTGGGCCGAGAGGAAAGGAACTATTTTTTTGAGGGGCCGGGGGAGTGGAGGGCATGATTGGGCGTCTTTGTTCCTGTTAGCGGACCCTTGGGAGGGAGGATGGAGCTGACCCCGCCCCCTCCGCCAGGGAGAATAGCTCTGTCGTCTTTCTTGCTAGAAACCTGTACATGGAACGTATTTACTCTCCAGTGACTTCCAGGCTAACGAATAACACTGCAGAGCGGGTGTGCCCTCCGTTTTCGCAGCTGGGCTCTCCTTGAGGACGGCTTCCCAGGGCCGGGTCCGCCCCGAGGGCCCGAACCCAAGACCGGACGGTGGGAATGAGCCCAACTCACCGCCGGAGCCCGTCAGCCCCGGCTTTCTGCCGCCCACTGCGGCCTGGCTGGTGTCCCCAGCGGCCCTCTCCCCGCACCAGCCGAGCAGTCAGGGGGCCGGTTCCAGCCCTCAAAGCCTTTGTCCCCCGCCCCGAGGCTCCCCCTTAACCGAGGTGGGGCCTGAGAAACGGGGTTGCTGCGGCTCGGATTCTCTCACTGTTGTCTCTCGTTACTCAGTCAAGTGGTTTTTTTCTCTTTCATTTGAAATCCTTCCCGGGTCCAAGTGGCCACCACTGACGATGACCCACAGCACAGGTGGGCTTCTCTTCCGGAGGTGGTTGAGCCAGCCCCGGCGAGAGCCGGGCCGCTAGACCCTCTCCCTCCTGAGTCCTCACTGCAGAGGTTTTGGGGGAGCCCCCGGTTGGGGGTCGGGGGGGGGGGTGAGGGACGTCGGCTGGGGCTTTCCCGGCGAAGCCTCTGTTCTTGAACGGACCGCCCTTCAGTCGCAGCCCTAGGGGAGTCGGGGTCCTGCCCGGGGATGGTTCAGATCATCGCGAGGCCACACCAGCCCCGCAGGCGAGTAAACGGGGCCCGGCGGGGAGGGCGGACGCGCCGGGAGGTCCGAGGGGAACCACGAAGGGCGGGCGCCGAGTGGCACGGCCGGTGCGGGCCCGCCCTGTCTGGATTCGCAGGGCGACGCCTAGCGCGCGAGCAGGGCTGGCCCGGAGCGGATCCCCCCTCCCCGCCCCGGCAACAGTTAATAAACACACACGGGGAGCATCCCAACACTATGAAACGACACACGGTGACAGAGGAGCCTGCCCGGCGTTCCGGCGCCCCGGCGCCCCTCCCAGAGAGACCGCTGCCGTCTTCCGCCCCACGCGCGCCGACGCGCGCAGGCGGGCACTCGCCCCTCTCAAGCCCAGGTCCCGCTTCGCACGGCTCTGCGCTTCGCCCCTCGCCGCCGGGAGCTCCTTCTGCGCCAGCTGCCCGGGACTTTGTAGCTCCACGCCCCCAGCTCTCCAGGCCAAACAGAAAAACCGGGGCACGACCCGAAGTTCAGGCAGCGGGAGGGATGACCGGCGGGCCTCGGCGACCACCAGAGGGCGGGAGGGGAAGGGTCCCGCTCCACCTCGGGCACCTGCGCCGAGATCGCCGGGTCGCGGAGGCGGGGGGCTGCCAATAGCTGGGCGGCCCCGGGGTGCGACCCGCTGCCCTCCCCCCGCGTCCGCTTTCGGGCGTCTCTGCCGCCGAGGCCCGGGGGGACGCCGCACCCCGCCGCTCGCGGCCCGGGGAGCGACCTTCCTTCTCCGCAGCCGCAGAGGGCCCCGGGCCCGGCCTGGGGGCGGGGCCTGCGACGGCGGGGGCGGGCCCGAGGGCGGGGCCCGAGGTGGCGGGGGCGGGCCCGGCCGGGGGCGGGCCGGGGGCGGAGCGGCCGCGGCTGCGGCGGAGGCTGGAGAAAAGTTGTCCCGGCCAGAACGCTCGCTGCCGCGGGATCCGGAGGCGCCGCGGCTCGCACCCGGCAGGGCGGGGCGCCGCCACCCGAGCCGCGCCGCGCCGCGCCGGCCGACTCGCTGCCGGGGTCGCCCCGGGACATGGGACAGCCGGCGGGATCGGCTGGCGGGCGCTGCGCCCCAGGCGGGCGGCGGGCGGCCTGAGCTGCCGGACGCAGGATGCGCTTCGACGGCGCGGCCCCCGGGCCCGCGGCGCCGCTGTGCGGGGCGCTGAGCCTGGTGCTGGGAGCGCTGCTGGGCAGAGGTAAGGCCGCGGCGGGCGGCGGTCCCGGGAGCCCGGACGGGGGAGCCGAAAGGCGAGGTGTCGTGAGCACCTTGGCGAGGGCGCTGGTCCGGCCCCACCGGGAGCGCCTGTGGCAGCGCGGGGCTGCCCCCTTCCCCAGCCGCGCACCGCGGACGTGGGTTTGGGGCAGATTCCGGAGCTTCTCGGGGCGGGGGGCGTGGCTAAGGGACACTGTGTCTGTCCCCACTTAGCTCGGTGAGGACTGAACCCAGCGCAGCTCCGCTGCGGACCTGGGGGCTCAGCCGCGGGCACCCGGCTGCTTTGCCCCCGCCTCCGCGCCCCTGCCGCGTCTGCGGGGCCTGGCGACCCAGGAGGGCCCAAGGGGCCCGGGCACCCCCTCCCCAGCCCGGGGGGCTGAGGAACCCACCTCGGCCCACGGAGGGACGCGCGCTCGACGCGCAGCACCCGGAGCCCTCGGCTTGGCAGGACGTGGACCCCGGGGCCCCCCGAGTTTGGGGGTACGCGAGGGCGGGGACGCCTGTGGGACCCAGACCGGCTTCCCTGTGGGGTCCCAGGTCCCCTCCCTCAGTCTCCTCACCTCTGCAACGGGAATGCCCAGCGCGCTTGACGCTGAAGGGACCCGGTCAGCGACAGCGCGGCCCGGGGAGAACTCATGGAGGCCGCCGTTGCTGTCGTTTCGTCAGGCGGTTTTCTGTGCGTGCGGTCCGGGCGGCCCCGGGGCCGAGGGGCGGGCGGGGTGGCCCCCGAGGCGGGAGCAGCGGGCGCGGGGCCGCGGGCAGGGAGACGGGCGGCGCGCGCGGCTGGCCGCGGAGTCGGCTCGGAGACCCCAGAGGGCGCCACCTGCCACCGCTGTCCGCGCCCGCTCTGCGCTGGTCCCCCTCCAGGACCCCCAGGTGAGTCTCCTGCGCCCCGGGCCCACCAGCCACCTCCCCCTGGGAGAGAGCCCGGCCTCTCCCTCCCGGAGCTCAGCGTCGGGCTGGAAGGACCCGGGAAGGTCCGGTCCGGAGGGACGAGCCGCCCCAGGAGGTGCCAAGTAGCGCTTGCTTTCCAGAAGTCCTTGCGCGCAGCCTTAAATTCCGGAGGAATCCTCTGTGCTCGAAGCTGCAGCTTCTCAGACACACACCGACGGGGCGGAATGGTTCCTTCAAGCAGGGTGCCTGCCCGCCCCCCCCCCGCCCCCCAGCTGCAGGTGAGCAGGTGTGTGCGTGCACGCGAGTGCGTGTGTGGAGGGGGTACTTCTCTGCTCGGCTTGAAAGGGCGGCCCTTTCCGGAAGCCAGCGCCTTCGTTCCGCTGTTGGCTGTGGGTGCCGTCGTGTGCGAGACTCCGTTTCCCCAGACGGAGCGCGGCGGTCCACAAACAAACCCCCTCCCCCCAGTACTTCCCAGCGGTTGTTGGGTGATACCGGCCAGAGGATGCGAAGCACTCGGTAGGAGCAGTTGCGGCCCTTGGACGCCGCGCCAGGGGTGGCAGCACCCCCCACCCGCCAGGTGTCCCCCCACCTCTAGGAGGGGGTTTGATCAGCCGGGACCTCTGCATGCTGACGGTGCTTGTTAAAAGGTACTTTCAGGCTCTTTGAAATTAAAGCTCGCATCCTCCCCCCACCCCATCTGGAGAATTCTGGGTCTGGGTTAGAGGGGTGTCTGGCTCAAGAGCCCAGGAGGGGGGGCTGGGGGAGCAGTGTGGTCGGAAAGGGGAGCTGGGAACTGTGTTTGGGGGGGTACTCGCACAGCCAGGGTTGGGGGCCCAGAGATAACGGGACCCCGAGGCCTCACCCTGTCCCCAGAGCCGCCCCCTCCCGCTGGCTTAGTACAAACCTTGGTGGGGGCGGGGGGGGGGCGGTTCTCTCCTGCTTGTCCTCGCCACGTGGTCTGGGGACCTGCTAGTCTGCAACCTGCGCTCTGCACCGTTTTCCTCGCTGTCTGTCCCGACCGGAAGCCCCGGTCCGGCCCGCTCCGGCCCGCTCCGACCCGCTCCGGCCCGCTCCGGCCCGCTCCGACACCGCCACCGGTGAGATGTGGGCCGCGGGTGCAGGGAGGGCTCTGGCCCTTGTTGAAACGTGCGCTGTCTTAAAACAAAAAAACAGGCGTCTCTGGCTCTTCCAGCCCGAGGATTAAGTGCTAATTTCTGGAATCCTTGAAACCACTGATCAATTTTTAATGCCGACCGTATGTTTACTTTTGACTGTGGACTCAGAGGCTCTGCGGTTCGCCGGGGTTCGGGGTGGTTGCCGCTCGTGGGAGGCCTCCTACACCCCCCGGGGAGGAGTCCCAAGGGTGCGGGCAGGCGCGGCGGGTGCGCCGACACGTCCTGGAGGCAAGGGTTGAGCCAGGAGCCCAGACGGAGCGCAGGAAGTGTGTCGTGGGGCCGAGATGCTGGCGGCTGCTCCCTGTCGCACCGGGGACCCCTGGGAGGGCGGTTCACAACCACCACCTCTCTTCCGAAACCCGTGGGGCCACCCGTGTCTGGAGACTCGGGGCTACCGAGGTCTTGGCACGGCAAGGTCGGCCGTGGCTAGGTGAGGCAGGTCCAGGCGTGGGGCCCCACACGTGTCGTATGATGCCCCACGCCGGTGCGGGGTTGTGCCCGGCAGTGGCAGACATGGGAATTTTGTGTGGCACGTGCCTGTGTTCACACGAAGGGGGGTAAAGGCCACCAAAAGCCTCGTTTTACTCGGGACCAGTGTTGGCCACCCGGCGAGTTAAAAAACAAAGCCCCGTGGGGTTGTCCGAGCTCCGGGATTCCGAGTTTCTCACTGGAGGGGACCGGGCCTGCGGCCGGTGTCCTGAGCAGGGGGAGGGGGGAGATCGGGGGACGGGGTCCTTCCTGGGCCTGCACACGCGCCGCCCCCCGGGCCACTGGGGACAGTGGCCCCTTGTCCGTCCTGTGCTCGCGGCACAGGTCCTCCGCACACGCCCCTCCCTGCCCTTCACCTGGAAACGCCCGCCCCCCCCCCAGGCGTCTTCGAGGGACTCCCATGTCTCAGAGGCCGTCCTGTTAACCCCCGGGCTGGGGGCCCACCTCGCGCTCCCTCTGTGTGTGCGCCGCCCAGGTCCCCCCCCAGGGCTGGGACACGTCACCGCCTGCCCACAAGCACCGTTTTGTCCGCACGGCGCCCTCGAGAAACAGAAGTGAATGGGCGCCCCAGATGGGGGGCTTGCATTCACACAGAAAACCCCAGATTTATGACTTCCCTTCGGAGCGCGGGTGCTGTGCCAGCCTCGGCACCCCTGCCCCACGGCGCCACCGCACCAAAGCGGAGCCTGTGTGTGCCCCGGGGTGGGGCGTATTCAGGTCCCCGCGCACCCCCCGCCTTCCCTCCCGGCCCCTTCCTGCCTCCAGCTCTTCCCGGCTCGTCTGGGACTCACTGTCAGCTGGGGCGGCGGCGGAGCCGGGCGGGGAAGCACTCAGAACCCCCAGTCACACTGGCAGTCGGCGCCTCCGCCCGCCCCGCCGAGGTTACAGCCGAGCCTGGGGGCGGGGGGGGGGGGCAGGAGACGCTCCCCCATCCATAGTCATGAGCAGCGAGGGCAATAGGAGCGCGTCTTTGGCGTGTTAATTGCAGTGCAAGGGAACATTACGGAATTAATGGATTCAGCGGAAAGTCTGATTGATAGAATATTTTTGCAGCAGCCTACTTTGTTTCGAAGTCAGGTTTATTAAGGTGTAATTTGCATTGCAGTCAGAGTCACCCCTCGGCGCCTGGAGTTCCAGGTTTTGACACATGCACACAGGTGAGTAAACGCCACTGCGGCTGAGTCACAGAGCACCCCCGTCACCCCCCGGACCCCTCCCCCGGGCCCTGGCCACCGCGGACTGGCCCTGTCCCCACGGTTTTGCCTCCTAATTCCATAAACATAGGACTGGTCCCCGTGCAGCTCCGGAATCTTCCATCTCGGACTCAGTGCAGTGTGTTTGGGGCTCCCCCCGAGGCCCGTGGTGCGTCCCCGTTGAACCCCAGTAATCCCCGCGCCAGCTGTCCCGCTGGGCGGGGGCCCCACCCCTGGTTTATCCGCTTCCTGGCTGAAGGACCTTTGGGTTGCTTCCTCTCTGTGGCAGTGATGGGAACAGTGACTACGTCTCTGCCCACAGGCTGCGCCCTGTGCCTGTGGGTTTTCCTTTGTTTGGGGTGAAACCCCGGGACTGGGGTTGCCGGGCGGCGTTATCAGAAACCGCAGACTCTTTTCCCACGGGGCGGCACCATGCGTCCCCCCTGCAAGTAAGACGAAAGGGGCCCCGCCAGTGCTGACCTGCGGCCCCTGGAATGTTGGCCGCGTTGTTCTGTGTGATTTTTTTTTTAGCAGTTTTAACAGGTGCCTCGTGGTATTTCTTCGAGGTTTCCACTCTCCCCTGCAGGACCGAAGGGGAGGAGGACCCTTTCTCGTGGGCACTTGCCATTGTATTCCTTTGTGGGTGGCACACGGCTTTTTCAAGCCTCTGCCAGTTTCTCGCGTTGCCTGTTACTGTCCTGTCACCGATCTCGGAGGGCGCCTCATGTATTATGGATGCGAGTCCTTCAGCGGCGCCGTGTTTGCACAGGCTTCCTTCCCGGTGTGTGTCTGCGGGAGAGCCGAGTGCGCTGACTTTAATGCGGTTTAACACATCAAATCTCTTCCTCTTACTCCTCGCCCTTCGCTGCCACCTCTCAGAAGCCCGTGCCTGACCCGGGGCCCCACGGCCCTCCAGATGCCGACAGTGACGCCCAGGTGCTGCCCGTCCCTGCCGACCGGCCGCCGTTGTGCGGGGTCTGTCTCTGGGCGGGGGGCGTCAGAATCTCCAGCTAGTTCGTGGGTTTGGCTGGTGTTCGTCTCCGTTGTGTTGGCTCCTCCTTCCCGCGCTGGGAAAGCCTGTCTCGGGTGCGTGCACGCTGAGAGGTGCGTCTCCTTGGGGAGACGACTCCTGGATCGTCGCAGAGTGTCCCTCCCGGTTCTGGAAGAGACTTCTAGCCCTGACGTCCGTCTCATCCGAGATCAATGTAGCCGCCTCAGCTTCCTTCTGACGG